AGGAGAAAAAGGAGAAAAAGGAGAAAAAGGAGAAAAAGGAGAAAAAGGAGAAAAAGGAGAAAAAGGAGAAAAAGGAGAAAAAGGAGAAAAAGGAGAAAAAGGAGAAAAAGGAGAAAAAGGAGAAAAAGGAGAAAAAGGAGAAAAAGGAGAAAAAGGAGAAAAAGGAGAAAAAGGAGAAAAAGGAGAAAAAGGAGAAAAAGGAGAAAAAGGAGAAAAAGGAGAAAAAGGAGAAAAAGGAGAAAAAGGAGAAAAAGGAGAAAAAGGAGAAAAAGGAGAAAAAGGAGAAAAAGGAGAAAAAGGAGAAAAAGGAGAAAAAGGAGAAAAAGGAGAAAAAGGAGAAAAAGGAGAAAAAGGAGAAAAAGGAGAAAAAGGAGAAAAAGGAGAAAAAGGAGAAAAAGGAGAAAAAGGAGAAAAAGGAGAAAAAGGAGAAAAAGGAGAAAAAGGAGAAAAAGGAGAAAAAGGAGAAAAAGGAGAAAAAGGAGAAAAAGGAGAAAAAGGAGAAAAAGGAGAAAAAGGAGAAAAAGGAGAAAAAGGAGAAAAAGGAGAAAAAGGAGAAAAAGGAGAAAAAGGAGAAAAAGGAGAAAAAGGAGAAAAAGGAGAAAAAGGAGAAAAAGGAGAAAAAGGAGAAAAAGGAGAAAAAGGAGAAAAAGGAGAAAAAGGAGAAAAAGGAGAAAAAGGAGAAAAAGGAGAAAAAGGAGAAAAAGGAGAAAAAGGAGAAAAAGGAGAAAAAGGAGAAAAAGGAGAAAAAGGAGAAAAAGGAGAAAAAGGAGAAAAAGGAGAAAAAGGAGAAAAAGGAGAAAAAGGAGAAAAAGGAGAAAAAGGAGAAAAAGGAGAAAAAGGAGAAAAAGGAGAAAAAGGAGAAAAAGGAGAAAAAGGAGAAAAAGGAGAAAAAGGAGAAAAAGGAGAAAAAGGAGAAAAAGGAGAAAAAGGAGAAAAAGGAGAAAAAGGAGAAAAAGGAGAAAAAGGAGAAAAAGGAGAAAAAGGAGAAAAAGGAGAAAAAGGAGAAAAAGGAGAAAAAGGAGAAAAAGGAGAAAAAGGAGAAAAAGGAGAAAAAGGAAGGAAGAAAGGGGGAAGGAAGAAAGGGGGAAGGAAGAAAGGGGGAAGGAAGAAAGGGGGAAGGAAGAAAGGGGGAAGGAAGGGGTATTTCTCTCTCAAAAGCACAAAAAATTTTGCTAAAAAGATAATGAGAATGCACTTGAAATTTTGGAGAATACTTGGGATCACTAAAACAGAAAATGAAAGATATTAATACTGAGAAACTTCCTTGCAGCAAACTTACAGAAGGATTCCCTGGAAGTCATCCAAATATACACAAGTAATGGAATTAAACTTTGATATTAAACATAGACTTCTTTATGTTTGTGTTTATGCAGGACAGATTCAAGGACTGTGAAAATAGACTAAGAAAGTCTATCTCAGCAATAATGTGAGAAGCCTCACTGAAATATATCCAGATTCTTAAGACAAAACAATTGTATAAGTAATAAAACCCTCCCACATCTCATCCGCAATTTTATCTCAGCTCCAGGGAAAACTGCAGATACCTTAATACCACGGAATAAAGAGTCTCCAGAGTAGCAAGTCTCTCTTTTTTCCACTTGCTTCTATTCATTTCAGCTGATTGAACTATGCTAGCAAACCGCATCAATAGGCAAGAATTGCGCGAATCTCTTCACATGAAACGTGTCATCTGAAGGGATACAGTTTATGTCATTTGCTCCACCAGACTCCACCTTAAGTGAACCCTGCTTCACTTCTGGAAGGCGGCATGATTTTATTAGAACATATGAATTAGAATACATTACTCTCTGTATAACAAACCTTGCTTGGCAAAAATCTGTAGTCTTTGAATTTTTACTCTTCTACTACATAGCTATGTAATGACCACTAGGTTCTGCATATTCAGCTGAGAACCATTTCTAAGAGAACACTATACAATTATCTCTTGACAGACAGTCTGGCGCTAAATTGAAATAATGACAATGAACGCAGAATTGCTATTGGAGAGTCTTCAGCTGTGACATACATTATTTCTGTATTATTTTAACCTCGTTTTTAAAAACATAATAATGTCCATATTGGTCCAATTATCCTGTCACCAGTAATGGCCAATAGCAAGAGTCTAGGGAGAATCAAGTAGAGGTCAAACCTGTATTGATATTTTCCCCGAAGCTTCTACCACCATCTGGTAATCTGAGCTAGATCTGGTCTCTGTAGGTGACTTTCTTTCACACCTATGTCTAGGATGACTGGAAAATGACATGCACTGCTACAGACTGCTGTATTCTGAGAACTTAACTAATAAGAATTTAAATGTCAATTAAAATGATCATTCTTAACAGCCAAAAGAAGCAAGTCTATTTTCATTTACTTAAGCACATATTTCAGGAATACCTAAAACAGTACTTCTGTTTTGTATCTAACACTTAAGTGTCCTTTTAAAAATGCCATATTTTCACAAGACAGCATAGGGGTTTAGGAGAAAATTTGTCACTACGGACCAAGTTCACACAGAAGCAAGCAGGCAAAGTACTTGTACAGGGGTCTTTCCCTGGAAGATCTCAAACCCCTCTACAAAAAGTTAGATGTTCGATGCTCATACATGGAGTCTGTGAGCGACACGGTTATCTAAATAGTTTAGTGAGGAGCACCGCAACTTGAAGAGAAGCAACATCATAAGGTAGGCAGTACCATGTTGCTTCTCCTGAAAATTCTATCATTTGTATCTTCTCTGTATTGGCAAACAAAACATATCCTATAAAACTGCCTCTACATCTGATCTAGGCTGAAGTTTGCAATTCGTAAATGACTGTGATCTTATATTTGTCTCCAGCACTAAACTTATTCCCTCATTACTTATGTTATTTTGCAGGCGCAAAGCCAGTTTTGGGGCTTAATGCCCATCTCCACCTTTTATGGCACCATCTCGGGTATCAGGCGTCAATTACGCTGCTTATTGCTGCAAAGTGCAGTGAAGGCAGAAGAGCGACATATGGTAATGAGCAGTATGTGTGAATATCAAACTCCTATGCCAAAGCTTTCAAGTAAATAGCTAAGAGGTGACATTTATATCTGTATTTAGAATCTTAAGCCAAAGTTTCAGAACCTCCTTCTGTGAAGAGATAGATGACATATATCTCCCAATGAAGACAGAGTTGTGAGCAAACTCAGTACTAAGGAAAAAAATGTCACTTGATATGGCATTACATAAGTGCTTGAAAAATGTTGGCTTTGTCTTATTCAATACAGGAAGTTATTGTGTATATGTCTGGATTATGCAAAATAAGCAGAAATCTTTGTTTTCTAAAAGCATTCCCATGTTTACACTAATTTTCAAATATGACCTCAGAAAAAGATAACACAATCCTAAAATTTTTTCCCCCACTGTTACCTGTCACTAATACAAATAACTACGCTGTGGTACGGCTAAAACATCAGGACACCTTCCTTAGTAGTAATCTAACTCTTCTCTTTTTCCTACTGCTAAAAAAAAGAATTATTTTGATTAATGATGTGTCACAGATTTGCTTGGCAGATCTAACAACATGATGGAATGCTTTTTCTACTATGTAACTAGACAAGAAAAAATTATTCCTGTTCAGCAGATGAATTATGACTTTGCTTTCCTCTACAGAATTTGTTTTGAAACGGGTTTAGGCATCATCTTAAAAACAGTGAAGGCTGGGTAGTTTTTCTGCTCACTGGGACATTCAGTTCCATCAGTCAATATCCCAGTAAACACTGGAAACAGAATTAGAATAATTAAAGCTAAAATGTTAATAAATAGCTTATATGCCTCATTAATCTATATATGTGCAATACTGGTAAATTGCAAATTCCACTTAGAGAAAGTGGGATATATATGACTGATGGATATGCGAAGTCTGTTTTACAGAATACATAGTGTTACAGTATACACCTTAAACAAGGTAGCTACAGGTTTGCGATATATGTTCAAATTTTTACCCGCAAATTAAAAAGAGCAAAGTTTGATGTGTCTTTCCTCAGCCACAAATTAGACATTCGCATTCACAGAATAACAAAAAGAACACAACAGATTCACAGCTAGAGAACTGTGAATGACCGAATAGTTCTTGTTAAAGGCTACTGTAACTTCTTCACCTCAAACGAGGTGAAAACATACCTTTCAATGTAGAAAACACTGAGCATAATGCACCTACAAGCAGCTAGTTATTTAGGATGACATACAGTAGACTTTGTCCTTCTCCTTCCTAAACACCACCAACTTTAAATTTAGAGCATTTTGGCACTTATACCTCAGCACAGAACAGGAAGTGATATACTTCTCCAAGTAAAATGTTTTGTTTTGGTAAGTAATCTTTTTGAGTCTCTACTTAAGTTTACTTCTCCTCAAGTCAGAACGGAGGCATGCATAATTCAGACTTCTCCACAGGTTTTGGCTGAAGCTTCAAACTTTTAGGATAATAACAATAATCTGAAGACCGCTGACTATAAAATGCCTATAGATACCTCTTGAATTTGCTCTACCTCAAGAACACTATTGCGCAGAGAAGACTAAAAGGAATTCATTCAGGTTCTGTGGAAGACTGTTTTGAAGACCTCTTGCTCAAGCAGGTAGTAAAGTTATTTTCTTCCCTTTAAAAAAATATGATGCCACTTTCTGCAAAGTAGATTCTGAATTTGTCAGAGAACAGGCTTATACAAGAAGTCTCTAGGCAAAGAGCAACTTATTTTCGCCTTACTTACAATAAGGTCTTATCAAACTAAATAATCCAGCTGTAAATGGGCTCAAGGACATTGTTATTTTCATTGAAAGGACAGGAGTGGGGGGAAACAATAAGTAGCTCATTCAAAACCCTATTACGTCGATATTTACCTGCTGTTGCTTCAGAACAAAAACATCACTATTTTGTTTCAAATTCATCGATCGATATTCATCTTACTTACCAGCTGGGTATAACACATT